CTCTCATGTGTGACGACTTCTTCTAACTCGCCACTACAACTAATCTCCGGGGACATCCCTTCAAAGGGAGATTACAAGTGAGGAAGTATTTTTTCTCTAGTCGGGTCGTGGACACGTGGAATAACCTACCTGAGGCTGCAATTTCGGTGCCCTAATTGTCGGCCAAACAGCCTCCATACCATCGGTAATCCTTTCGATATTGTCATCCACAGTTAAGCTGCTTTTTACATAGATAGAAACCCTTCCATCCTGGCGTTCCATCCGTTCTCTTCTAAATAATTGTTATGCAGATAATGCTACTTCGTTATCACTGATACTCTGTGACCATCATGTTTCGGTTATTACTATGGAATCTGGAGACATATCGGCTACCTGCATTCTAAGTAATCGAACTTCGAGAATAGACTATGAGTGTTGGTATACAGAAACGTTGGTCTGCAACATGAGATATTGCCTAATTCAGTTTGCACGAGTTAGAAATGGGAAGAAATAAAGTCAGTAAGGAGACTGCGAAATCCTAGAGCCTCCTGTTTAACTAAGAACCATCTATGTGGCACTTTATCAAATGCCTTGCTAGGATCGAAATAGGTAACGGCCAGAGATACACAAGACTTACGAAGGGAAGAAAATAGACTAAGAAAAAGCGCACGAATCATAAGAACGATCGGGCAAAATATCCCGTTTGTAATAGCTTAGAACCTAACTGTGTATTAAATATCCGGATGTTTCGGCAATTGATTTCAAGAAGTTTAGCAAGAGAGGGCGTTAATTTTGAACACCAGTATGAGATACAGCTTTGAATCATCGAAGGACAGTATACAATTTCAAGTATCAGGAAATAAACCATCCTCGCATTATACAAAGAAGAATTTACGCAGTAGAGCAGTATAATCTGTTAGTTATTTAACAAGAGAGATCGGGATGTTGACAGTTCCAACTGAGTACGAGATACCAAGTTGACTTACCAGCCTCTATACGTACTGACACCATAGCAAGCTCGGCTATACCGCTTGGAACGTCATTCATTGATACGTAGACTTATGCGCGTTAATGAGCGCAAGAAAATAGTTTCCGTTTAGCATTTTTGACGCAAGAAGTTCTGACCACGGAAAACCGCAATTTGACATGACAGTCAAATCGCGAACTTAAAAGCCGTGATTCTTTGGGTTTCCACGGATTATAAAACGGGCCATTTTTACCTAACAAGATTTTCAGCATCGCGAACACCCTTAGCGCACCAGTCACCGTGACGTCTCGTTATTCCTTCCGCTAGCACACGCAGTTAGGTACCGTCTTCACTTGGTCGCGAATGCCGCTGCAATTGTGAATAAGTTATTAAGGAATGAATAAAATTTGAAAATTAATCTTTCTAAGCGAATTATCAATTGTTTTCTACATACAGAGCAGCTTCCACAAATATTCATAGTCAAACCCACTGAACTAATTTGCCGTGGTGATGGACTTCGTTGTCTCTGATTCCTCTGCCGGGCCTCATTTTGGAGGTAATGGTGCTGAATCCACAGCCAACAACTCAGTAAGTAAATTCGTCAGCTGTCAGTGAGAAACTATTCAGTCGTTTACCGATGTCCACTATAGAATCCCGGCCCAGGAAATGAATGGAGATCGAAAACATCCATTGAACTTTTGCCCACTATTCCCATTCTGAACTGCCGTCATATCATTGACTGTGGTTATTTCTCCCGAATATTACCGCGGTTATCGCGATTACCCGATGGCCAATTTTTTCACTGCTAGCTTGATCTATTGTATGGGTTCATTTTGAAATTGTCTTCACTATCATACGATAAAGTTTCATTATTAGTTTGGGCAAAAAGTACATGTATTTGCTAGTGCTAAGGATACATTGAAACGTTCTCCTTTCAGTTATTTTTTGACATTACAAATGCACGTGTTTAGTTATCGGTTCCCCACATTTTTGATATATCGCCGTTTGTTTTACCAACTAGCGAGTTCAAGATGAGCAACTAAACTCCTAAGAAGTAAAATGAAGTTAATTACCATCATTTTTGGAGGGCATACTTCTAACAGGTCATATATCAAAGAACGCTTCCTTTGACCTTGACTTCCCACAACACACCGTACTAGTTCACCCTAAATGTCTGCAGCAATATCCCCTGACGACCTAGAGTCTCAAAACGATGAAATTCAAGCGTTGGAGAGCATTTATTCGCCTAATTTTACAGTCGTTAGTTTGGAAGACAAGTTTGAAAATTATTTTTCTGTAAACATTTTAGAACGTTTGAAATTTTGATTGCGTCTGAAAAACCCGAGTTGCCTACTGTCACACTTCGTTTCACTTTTGGCCCTGGATATCCATCATCGGCCTGCCCAATTTTTACGTAGGCTTTTCTCTTTCATATTGTCGAAGACTTACAGCCCCTGAACTATCGCGTTCAGCTCATGCCGACTTAACAAACTCTCTTTGGGAATTATGTTGTCTGTCTGTGGGATCGCCAGTAATCCATTGCATGGTCGAAGCTATCACACAGTTCATAGAAGAACTTCCGATCGACAAGCCAGAGCCGAATGTTCACCAACCTGCTTTGCCAGATTCCGTCATAGAAGTCCTGACCAAGTCCACTGCCGACTTGTACTGTGTTCCA